GCACCGTATTTTTCTACATTTAAAGTAAGAATAATTGTTGTGCACATTTTTACAATCTAAAAATTTTACTTCTAAATTTATTTAGTTTGCACATATCTTGTTATAAAATATTTATTGTAATCGAAGAACAAACGATGCTTTAAGTTGTTTTGTACTTGCAAGGTGCGGGTTCTGTATACTTTATCTAATCCAGATAAACGTGCAGTATACCAGGTCTAGTTTAGACCATCTAACCAGAGACAGTATCTAACATATCCAAATATCAGAGACAATGATGACTATAGTGAGTCCAATTTAAAACTATGTATGTACTTTCACCAGCCATGGGAGCACATCTCTACACTTTAAGATTGAAGGAAAAGTTCTCTATACTACGAAACATAGCAAATACTGCACAAGCCAGTATTTGGATCGGACTGGACGACATCGCACAAGAAGGCGTGTACATTTGGGCAGACGACGGTTCTGTCATGACGTCTAATGTGATGTCATACACTTTCGCCCCAGGTTTTGTACCTTTTTAATACGATTTTGTTATACTTACTTTAGGAGCTGGGTTGAGATTACCATTTCGAGTTGAAGAAAATAATATGAAATAGAAAAACATTGTTTTCACGGTTAATTTTTGGCACTGTGGTTAAGTTTGGTTTAAAGCAGTGCCATATAGGGTTAATAAGACAAATATGACTTGTTCTTTATAATTGTCAAAAAACTTAAAAACAGTGTATGTAGTTTTTATAAAGCACCTTATATAACGATAGTTGAACACATACTATAATAATTTTGAATTTATTGTTTTCTTAACTACAGGTCAACCTAACAACTATGCTAATCAGGACTGCATATTTTATGATTACCCAAAAAATGGACTTAACGACGAGGGATGCGGAATGCAAATACTTTATTTATGTGAAATATATTAAAAGTGGCATTCCCTTAACGATGTGAAACATTCAGCTATATCCTGTATGCTGTATGTTGTAGTGGTATATTGATATATTGATGTATTGACGTTACAGATACAGCACTGTTCAGTTAAATTTCAATCGATTTATATAAACAAAAAGGGAGTAATTGAGTACAGTTTGATGTGAATAAAAGTGTTCAAGGCACCAGTAGTGAATTATGTAGCACATGAATACATATTGAGTTTATATGACAGTAGTTCTGACATGTTTTGTATCACCATTTTGTACTGACATAAATAAAAAAACGGTGTTGTACTGCGACATATTATGTTGTGTTAGACTATAAAGACTATATTATTCAATGAAATTACACTTTTAAGCGACATTTGTTTTACTAAAGAAAATTGAAACTAACATTATTTGAAGTGGTTGTTGCTTGTAAGTTCTATATGCGGTTACTTAGTTCACGATATCTTGGCCTTTTTTGTTTGTTTTTGTTTGTTTTTTTTTTGCTTGTCAGCTGTGGACACTAATGTGACTTTGTTTGGATCCACTTCCAGTACAGCTCCAGTCTCCAGTGACAATGCAAGAATTACAATATTTTTTTAAATGTATAGTAAACATTTAAATTTAATTTAAAATTTCTATATTTAATAATAAAATATTAGTAACAGCTGGCTGTAGAAGATGACCTGCTTTTGACGTCCGAGTGATTTTTGGCATGACCGTCGACCACAGAATAAGAAGGAGTAAGTAAGGGGTTTTTTTTTAGATTTTAAGCTACTTTTTAGCGCAATTTCCATAATGGAGAACTGCTTTTAATAATGCGTCATTTCTGGATGGATGTGTGTCCGCAGCCTTTAAGTCGTATCTCCTCCTCAACGAAGCAATATCGAGGACTAGTTCCAAAAGCAAATATGTTAAGCAAGTTCCAAGGATGATTGTGGGCTAAAAAAATTCCCGGAATTCCTTCCTGGATTTCCCGGAAAACCCAAAAAACTTCGAACAAATGCAGTTTTTGCTCCATATCTCGGCAACCAGACCACTTAGCGACTTGAAACATTTACCAATCGATTCCTGCCATAATTTAGACCAATATTGCTGAAGAAAGTTTTCAAAAATATCCTTTCGTTCGGTCACAAAAAATTAATTAAGAACATTTAAACTGAGCATCTTGTAGGCCTATGATGATTTAAACTGAGCATCGTGTAGGAGTTTATATTTATAGGATGATATTTACAAAAAATTAAAAATTAAAAATTGTTATGGATAACATAAGGAAATTGCGCTTAAATTGTCACTAGACTTTTTATTAACTTGTTTGTTTTCAATTCAAATATTTTTAGTCGTAGCATATGTAGTGGCAACTTAATTTGTAACGAATAACTAAAATGTGGAGATTAAAAGAAAAATATAAACAGTTTTAATAATGAGCTTTTATTAATTTTATTAATGGGCTTTTAATAATTGACTTAATTGGATGCCTAGTTAATGAATTATTTAAAATTGTATTAAAATCAGTAGACTGCCATACCCAACTATTCCGCACTATTATACACGCGTTATCATGTTCATTAGGCGCGCACTGGTTTTTAGGATAAAATGCTTTTGCAAATTTAAGAATGGCCGTTAGTTTTTAATAAAAAAAAACTACATCAACCTATTTCAGAAATCTAGTTAAAAGGGGAACAGATACAACTCATGAAACGAAGGTTTCAGATCACACGATAAAATTAAAAGAAAGCACGTTTGTTTAATTTTTGTTTTTTCCGTGCGTTTTAAAGATTGTTTTAAAACAAATATTTTTTATTCACGTCTTAATAATGAAATGCTAGTAATACTCAATAGCTTGAATTACAATACATCTTGTACATCTTTTTAAAAGTTTCAAACATTCCCAAAGCTCGGCCCATGAATGAGATGCTTCAAGGAGAATAATTTTCTTTATAAAAGGTTTTATAAATCTTTTTTCTTCTACAACCCTACCCTCCAAATTTAACTTCTAAAGCGGATCGAATTAGACCTTTGATTCGTAAGCGCGCGCCCGAGATACAATTTCTCCAATGATATTGCCCAAATTAATCATTAGATATTAAACGCTCCACTACAATTAAAATATTGCACTGTATAAAATTTGGCCTCAAATTTTTTTTTCTACGATATTCGACTATCGTATAACCTTTGAGATATGAATTTTTAAAGTCTTACGATGATTGTAGTTCTATTTGCACTTTACACAATCTTCCTCTAATGTTCACGCGCTGTCTATTTATATCGCTTTTCACTTTATGCGTCAGCTTAAGGGTAAAGGGAAATAATGCACTTTAATTTAAAGCATTTAAATATTATTCCCCTTTAAACTTTATAGTCAAAATTACAAGGTGTGTATTTACTAAATTTTTATTTAATAATTAGGTTCTAATTCGGACATACTTAAGGGTTTCTCTCAACTTCTTGCAAATCATTCAGAAAAAGTGTATATAGTTATAAATATTGGTCATGCTCGCTAATTGTACCCATCTACACCTATGGTTTGTCCTAGTATCAGATTCTGTAATTAGCACACTTTGACATTGTTCTCCCATAACAAAATAACTAACTTTATTCTTCAAGTTTTACATTACATAACGTAACCTTCTCAAACTCATTCTTAAATCTGTGTCAATGAGAAGTAACATTGAAAAATAGTGCATTCTTTACGAAGGTTTAGCTGTTACCACTGACAGGGTTTTGCTTTCTTTAACTCACTTTAGTGTATTTTCTTTTTAGATTTGTATAAATATTTACAAGCCGATGATGAAAAAAGAAATGCAGTTGATTTATCATTTTGGAATTTATTATTTGTTTGTAATTCCTAAAAAAAATCAATGTATAACTTATACCAAGAAGGAATGTACATTTTGTAAACCAAAAAAGCAAATAAATTTTGAGCACAATTAAACTCGATTTTAACAAAAGCATTTGCAGCTCCTTGTTTAAAGGCCTTGCTTCACTAATTTTAAAATCGTCATAAATTTACTGTCTTGTGATGGTCCTAAATTTAGACTTAACAAATATTATTGGTTTGATTTTTCTGATTTGATTTTGAAGCTTGAAAATAGAATAGAGTTTTACTTAGGGGTCATCCATAAATGACGTCACGCTTTTTGGACGATTTTTACCTCCCCCTCCCCTCCGTCACACATCGTCACAAAAAGCCAAACCCCCACTAAAATGACGTCACACCTCAGCTCACAACTCCACTCAAAATTGCAGTTGAAATTTTTTAAAACATCGATATTTTTCCAAAATATTGTCTGAACCCTGTCAAAATAGAGTATTTTAATCAATTCCTTTTAAAATTTATTAAATCAGTTTTCTAAAACGGGAAACAATGTCTAAACGAAGTTTTCTAACATTACTTTTTATAATGCAAAAGTGTGACGTCGCACCATCTGAACCCCCCCCCCCCTCCCCCTCGTCACACACCGTCACAATATTACGGACCCCCCATCTCCCCTACGAGTGTGACGTCATTTATGGACGACCCCTTACATCAAAACAAATTATTTTGACTGATTGATTAGCAGACCACATTAATTAAAGAGGTTACATCACATAAGAATATATATATATATATATATATATATATATATATATATATATATATATATATATATATATATATATATATATATATATATATATATATGAAATAAAAGTCAAGTGATGGTAGTAGTTCACTTTTGTCAAGTCTGTTTTAAACTCTACTTTATTCATATAACTTATGTTGACAACTGATATTTTGATGCACGCTAGTTTTACTATTTAAGAATTATATTAATTTATCAATACATCAAATAAAAGCTTTACAAACTTATCTCAATTTTATATCCCCCCTGTGTTATAAAACATGCACGAGTGTCCTTTACATGAACTGGGCAAAACTGCAGCAGCCACAACAAATGATACATATTAATTTAATAAAAAATAATAGTAATGATACGATTAGTGTGATTATTTAAATACAAATATCATGCAATAAAATATAGTACTGAAATAGGAAAGAAATGTGTATAATTGCTTATTAATAAATCCAACGCAGCAATATACCTAATACCAAGTACTATCATTTGAAAAATGCGTTTCCAGAGTCTCATCTGCAATTCGTCCACTAGCATTTGAAAAATACATTTCAAGAGCCTCATCTGCTGTTGGTCGGTTTTTAGGTTTCATGTCAAAAGCTTTCTCTAAAAATTGTATCAAAGATTTTGAAGTATTTGCTGGAAGTTCATAAAGTGGTCCTTTTTTTTTGCCATATCTAAATATAATTTGCACATCTAAATACTCTGGACAGGGTGGTTTTCCCGTAGCCATTTCAACAACTGTGCAGCCAACACTCCTTTAAATAAATAATTTTATTTGAAATGTAAGAGCAACATGTTAAATATATTATATTATTGGTAACATTTAAAGAAAAAGAAAATATTATCTATTTTAATCAATATTTTGAAATACGAATTCGCTTTTCAACTATTCTTTAAAAAATTTAGTTAATTCTATTTTGAGTAGTAAACAGAGTGATTATAAAATTACTTTTACCAAATGTCTGCTTTTATAGTGTATGAAGTTCCTTTGTCACGACGAATGATTTCCGGTGCCATAAAGTGGGGTGTACCAACTCTTGACTTTGGTAAAGTTTCTTCAAGACATTTAGAAATACCAAAGTCTGCAAGCTTTAAATTATTTTCATCCTTTAATAATATGTTGGCACCTGCATTGTACAAATGGCAACACTGTTAAATATAATAATAAATGCATACGATATATATATATATATATATATATATATATATATATATATATATATATATATATATATATATATATATTTATAGGAAGCTTGATGAAATTAAAGATTTTAACATAACCTTTGATATCTCTATGTATAATCTGTGGTAGAAAGTTGTGAAGATACGAGACTCCTTCTAATATTTGCTTAGTAAAGTGTACTGTTTTTCTTCTATCAAGAGGGTTATTTTTAGCTATGTATCCAGATAAGGATCCCTAAAAACATATTGTAATAAATAGGATGTATATATAAAGACATATAAATCAAAAATATAAATTATCCATGTAAATTACTGAAGTACAAGTAAAGAGTAAAGAGGAAACGGTAAAGGACAAAGTGCTAAGGTCAAAAGAGCTAAAAGCAAACGAGCAAAAGAGCAAAAGAGCAAAGAATAAAGAGTGAAGAGTAAATATGCGTATGCTTGTGCGTGGGTGTGCGTCTGCGTCAGCGAATGCTTGTGAATGTGCATGTGATATCTAGATTACATTTTTTTAATATTGAAAGTTATAACCTTATTTAAAGTGATAAAAATTTATTACGTGTTACTTATTACGTATTACACGAAGATAAAATGGTGGTCTAACGTGTTCATAAAAATAATAAAACATTACAAAATACCTTTGGCATATAGTCGAAAAATAAATAAATTGTCTTTTCTTTAATCTCAAAGCCGTAAAAATCTGTAATTCTTTTGTGATGTAACTTCATTAAAATATCCACCTCTTTTAAATACTTTGACTGTAAGGAAACAAATCAAAAGATTATGTAAAAACAAACAATGTATTAAAGTGTTCGGTTAAACCGAAAAGTCAGGAGCTCCAAACCCCGGGATCATAAGGGTCGATATCTAAGTCCAGAAAACGAGCTAGGAGAGAAAACTCCTGACAAAAAATGTGCAAAATGTACCATCCTCATTTCGCTCAACCTCTCCGCACCGGAAAATTCAAAATACTTCGACACCACCACATACCGGTGACTCAGGGGAGATAAAACTTCTAATCCTAATATATAAAACGCCATGTGCGCTCTTCTCTCTCTCTCTCTCTCTGTCTGTCCGCAAAAAATTTTCGCCGGACATCACGTCAGAAACGGCAGCGATATATGGAGAACTTTATACGGACTTTTGTTGAAAATAATATGTTAGATGTTTTAAATGTATAACCACAATTTTAGTTAAAGAAGAAAAATAAAAATTAAAGGCGTATTCGAATGTAGAGAAACAGTATTATTTATGCAACCGGAAAAGCATTAATAAATGTGAAAAAGAACGCATAAAACTGTGACGTCACTATTGCTTATACATTAACTAATGACGTCATCTGCCGTGTTTTGAATAAAAAGAAATGAACTATTTCATTCAAATTTGATTTAGATCTACGTACACTATGAAATGTATACAATACAATTTTTCCGGCCTAAACTCATAAAATTTATTTTACGTATTTGGATTCCAGATCTAGAGATTCTAGATCTAGACTAAATCTACGCAATAACTAGATCTAGACGTAGACGCTAAGATCTAGATTTAGACTCTAACTTTGCTAAAATCAATTCCAAAAATAAATTTCTATATTAGGACTAAACTATTTCAAGACTTATTTGTTTTATACAAAATCTTTGTTTGGAACTGGCTAATTTGGGATAAAAAATTTAATTTGAAAGAATAGGCATATTCGCGTAAGTTAAGATTTTAAAATACGTGTTTCATTCTCCGTAATTTATAAGGTGCCTAAATAGCGGAGATGTTAGTGTACTATAAACCACGCAGGTTGTGCGGGTTCGAGACACACCAAGTCAACTTGGTTCATATATTTTTTTTTTTATTATGCTCGGGCTAAACTTAAAAAAAAAATTCTTTTAGGAATCTAGATCTAGATTGTCGGGTGTCCGATAGGGCACTTCCCGGCGCCGCAGGCGCTTCAAATTTGGCAGGATCTTGCCTTGGGGCGACAGAACACGGGGGCCGGTTGGCCGAAAAGTCTACGATGAGGGGGTCAAAACTGACCTCGACTGACCGGTACCTTATATGAGGTATAAATCGAAAAAAAATGTCCACGGAGGAACCTCTTCATAACTCTTGAGGTCGTAGACCGACCCTCGGGCGAATTAATTAAGCATGCAAATTCTCAATGTTTTCGAAAGCCTAAGCGAAGCTGGGCAGCATGCCTAGTTATATCAATAACTGTGGAGATTCATCTGTATTTAATTGGTAAGTAGCGTAAGTAGATACATGGTTAGAGAAGTTTTAGACCTAGTTTTTACAAGTTTACCACCGCCGATTTCATATTAAGATATTTTTTTTCTTGTGTATTAACTTTCTAAACGTTTTGTTAATTTTTACACACTTTTTCTATATTAGTAGATTTTTCACGTTTGCTTTAGGAAGACAATTACAAGAGCGTATTATCCCTACAAACTTTCCAGTCTTACAGAGATGGTGTTTGAAGAAAGGGAAAAAATAATTGGTCACCTTTTTTAGTTTCATAAAATAAAAACACACTACATTAATTTTGAGGTAGGAAGAGTTTACATCAATTTAATGGGCCACAAACCAGATCGGCAGAAGTTCTTTGTGGTTTTCCAAATGATGCTGGCTATTGCCTGGCTTTTCTGTCTATATTATGGAAAATATATGTAATATGACATCATTTAAAGCAGTGGAGGTCTAAATATAACTCGACAACTATATCTGTAGAGTAAATATTTTGTGTTGTAGGATATCTAGTCAGAAATTAAAATTAAGAACGAAGTAGATTGTTTTAAAGTTTTAATTTAAAGAATTGTTGAAAGTGTAGCTTAAATTTTTAGCCATTTTAAACCAAGTAATGCGAACTCATAGATCATTATTTTAACTAGGAGTCCTAGAAAATAAAGTACAGAAAAAAAACAACACACAGTCATGTTAAGATACAAAAAAAAGAGTAATCTCTAAACTGTATATTCGACACGAAAACAGTTATAAGAAATACACATTGTACAAGAACAATTCCTTTAATATACCAAAAACGAGCTAAATGGCCCGTTGAGGGAGAAATACAACGGGCGCAAGTATCATAGTGTGGTCTTTTGATCTAAACCTAAACCAAAATAAAATCTCCACCTTAACTTCAACTTTAACATGAAACGAACAATGTCATTGAATACGGATGTTATCCAGAATCGACCCGTAGCTCATTGATTCTAAATATAGACCTTACATCTAAGCTCAAAGATGACTAAAGTTGCATTCAGAGTTTCTTTCAGGCATCTCTTTGGGGGGGGGGGGGGGGTGGGGGGGGGGTGGGGGGCTCATCCCTAAAACCTTTTACCGCACGCAATAATGAAATAGATTTTATGCTAAATTCTTCGGGGGATGGGGTTGCTGACACTGGTAATAAATGTGTATATTTTTATATACATTAAATTTCGTGGGGGGGGGGGGGGGGGCGGGAGGGGCGGTAGATGTTCTTCGGCTGGAGGGGAGGTACCTACCCAAAGGGACACCTGAAAGAAGCTCTGCCCGCAGACACCTTTTATCGTTGGACCAAACAATTAGGTTGTAATGTTAGTTTCTTTTTTATCAAGTATCGATGACGTCATTATTTTTGTGAAATTTCTTTGGCAATAGCTTTTTAATTATAGAATCAATGATGTCATAGTATTGTGTGTTCTTTTCCGGCTTTAAAATATTTCTTATACGTTCCATGTGACGTCACATTTCGTTTTCCGTTTGACTGTGAACGTTTTTACTTTTCTTGTGTTTTCTCTATATTGTTTTTGAATGACACAGAGACAGATTGACAGAGTGACAGAATAGTAAAAACACTCGACTTTATCGCCACATTGTAATGTTTTTAAAGTGTTTACTTTTTAAAAAAATCAAAATTGATAACCAAAAATCTAAATATTTATATATTTTTAACTGAATTTTTATTTATCAACTTTTCTTTTTGATTGAAATAATGTGAATAGAACAAAATTGCACTAAATATACTACCTTTTATAAAAATTCCAATTTTGTTTGGAAAAAAATATTCAAATTACTTCCCTTTATACCAAATATACATGTGAGTTACAATACATAAATAAATAAAACACTTTCTATTTGATGTTAGCGCTAGTGTTTGGGTTTCAGTTTGCGTTTTTGTTGCGTTTCAGTTTGTTTTTGTATTTGCGTTTGTGTTATCTTAATATTTACGTTTGCGTTTATGTTTGCCATAGGTTTACCTTTGAATTTGTTTTTTTTTGTTTGCGTTTGCGTTCGCGTTCACGTTTGTGTTTACTATTTATCTTTCTTTTATGTTTGTGTTTACTTTTGTGTTTGTGTTAAGGCTTGTGTTTGCTTTTGTGGGTTTTTTTAAGTTTGCGTTAATGTTAATTTTTACGTTTGCGTTCATGTTTCCGTTACGTTATTGTTTGCGTTTGCTTTTGTGTTTTTATTTGCGTTTGTGTTAGCGTTTGTGTTTGCGTTTGTGTTTGCGTTTGTGTTTTTGTTTACGTTTGTGGTTAAGTTTTTGTGGTGGTTGGTTGTGGTTAGGGTTAAGTTTGCAGTTACAATTAGGTTTAGGGTTATGCGTCTATATTTTCATATAGACATTTAATTGGAAAAGTAATATATTTCTTAAACCCGGGCAATGCTGGGTATATGTTACTTAATAATAACACAAGTAACGGTCTATTACAAATAGGTTTATCACAGAGCCCAGGGCCGGGATGATTTTCAAAATAATAATTCCCTGACGCATAACACTTTTAGGCAATTTTGTTTTAAACTGACAACAATTTGAATAAAGTAAACTCGTGTCCACACTCCCTAAAATGTGAATTGCATATGATTAGAAAACAAGACATATGATTAAATGATGAAATGTTTTGTAAAAAAGAGTTAAAAGATTAAACATATGTGAGGGGACGGCGTGGTCGGGCAGGAGTGCTCATACTTGCTATCCACAATAGTCTCCTTGTGTATACGGGGATGGTTAGTTGGGGACAACAATTCTTCTAGGAGAGAAAACAATCTTTTTTGCAGCATGTTTTTGGGTAAGCATAGACGATCAAAGCTAATCCAGAAAGAAAAGCAGCCTGAAACGGAACGGGAATAATTCGAATTCGGCCATATGGCGCTTAGCAAGTTGACTGGTATTAGGTAATTGTGTTGGGAGGAATCTCCTCTATTAGTACATTTGAGAATGAAGAAGAAGAAAAGTTTATTTTTATAATAAGGGTACGCAAAATATGCAAATTACATACGATGTTTGTGCCAGTGAAATAAATTTCTTTGACAGCGAGTCTTTTATCAGCAACATGATTTTTACTGTCTACTAGATAAACATATCCACTGGCACCACATCCAATTATTGTTTTGCTTTTCTTCCAATCATTTGGTACATATGGTGCAAGATAAATATCTGAAAATTAAAGAAACATTTGAGCGATATGAATAATGTGCTTGTGCGAATTTAAAACGTTTTTATAAAAGTAAATGGTATAAGCGTATCGTTTTAGATTAGAAGATAAACATGATAATATTACTAGATTTTTTAAGATGGCAAGAAAACTTACCTGAATATAAATCTAAACAAAGAGAATATTTATTGACATGCCACATTATGCATAAAATCTTTGTTTGTAATATTTCATCTGTATGTTGTTTTAATACTTCAAGCTTTTTCAGTACAGACATTTCTTTTTCAAGAAACTTGAAATTATTTTCGGCAAATTTTAGAAGAAAATCAACCGTGCTTTCAAGTGTTTCCTTGTCACTATCATTCAGAATTTGTGAGCACATTTTTACAAAATTGAATGGAATAACATTAAAGCGGTCAAAATAACACGAATTTCTTACTAATAATTTAAAGATATTTAAATGCTCTTTCATCGATGCAATCATTAATGCATTGAACCCATCGTTGTCAAAATGATTTACATCGCATCCATTGTTAACTAACACTTTAACAGCATTGTAATGCCCGTTTTGAGATGCTAACATTAATGCACTTTTGCCATAAATATCAACAGCATTTACATCACCTCCAGCTGCAATCAAACGTTGAATAAGTGTTTTTTGTCCTCTAGCAGAAGCCAGCATTAAAGCGTTTCGTCCAAATTTATTAACAACATTTACATTTTCCCTCTTATATATTATCTGCTCTACAATGTTTTCATATCCTTGTTCAGATGCAAACATTAATGAATTTGAATCATAGACAGCATTGGCATCACATCCACTATTCAGTAACAGTTGGACAACGTGGTGATGGTCGTTTAGAAAGGATTGATTTAATGCACTCCTTCCATCATTGTCGACAACATTTAAATTACAGCCGCTATTAATTAATAATTGTACAACTTTGTCATGGCCATTTGATGCAGCAAAAATTAATACATTGCTTCCATTATTGTCGACAGCATTTACATCGCATCCGATGTTAATTAAAAGTTGTACCACTTCGTTATGCCCTTCCTGTGCTGAAAACATTAAAGCGGTTTTCTTATTTTTATCAATAGCATTAACATCAGCACCTGCTTTAATTAATAGCTTTACCGTCTCCTCATGTCCTCTACCTGAGGCCAGCAGTAGCGCATTGTTTCCATTTTTATTAGCAGCGTTTACATCACATCCATTGTGTAGTAAATGCTCAACAACATCGTTGTGACCATTATGAGAAGCTAACATAAGCGCATTCCATCGATCAATATTAACATAATTTACATCAAATCCTTTTTTAATCAATAATTCCATCGTACCTTTATGCCCAAAACACGATGCAATCATCAATGAATTATATCCGTTATGTTCAATAACATTTTTGTCACAATTACTGTCAATTAAGAATCCTACAACTTTTTCATGTCCGTTATTAGAAGCTAACATTAATGCATTCCAACCATTATTGTCGACAGCATTAAGATCGCATCCACTATTAATTAACAGTTGTACAACATTGTAATGCCCATTGGAAGCAGCAAAGATTAATGCATTCCATCCATCATTGTCGGCAGCATTTATATCACAGCCATTATTAATTAATAGTCGTACAACAGTTTCATGTCCATTTTTAGATGCCAGAATTAATGCATTGGCTCCATGTATTTCAACATTATTTAGATAACATCCTGTATTAACTAACTGTTGTACAACATTGTCATAACCATTTGTTGCAGCAAACATTAATGCGTTCCATCCATCTTTGTCGACAGCATTAACATCCCCACCTGCTGTAAGCAGTAACTTTACCGTCTCCTCATGTCCTCTACCTGAGGCCAGCATTAGAGCATTGTTTCCATTTTTATTAGCAGCATTTACATCACTACCCTTTGTTATTAAATACTCAACAGCATCGTTGTGTCCATTTTGAGACGCCATCATTAACGCATTCCATTTTGTTACGTCATAATAATTTACATCAAATCCTTTCTTAATAATCAAACCTATCCTATCTTTATCACCATAGTACGATGCACGCATTAATAAATTATATTTTTCTTTGTCGCGTACGTCACATCCACTTTCAATTAACAGTCCTACAACCTTATCATGTCCATTTTTAGTAGCAAACATTAAAGCATTCCGTCTATTGTTATCGATAGCATTTACATCAGCTCCACTATTAATTAACAGTTGAACCATTTTGTCATGCCCATTTGTAGCTGCAAAAATTAATGCATTACTTCCATCATTGTTGACAGCATTTACATCACATCCACTGTTAATTAACAGATTTGCAACTTCGTTATGCCCTTCCTGTGATGAAAACATTAAAGCGGTCTTCTTATTTTTGTCAATAGCATTAACATCACCACCCGATGTAATTAATAGCTTTACCGTCTCCTCATGTCCTATTCTTGAGGCCAGCATTAGTGCATTGTTTCCATTCTTATTAGAAGTATTCACATCACATCCATTGTGTATTAAATGCTTAACAACATCGTTGTGACCCTTATGAGAAGCTAACATTAACGCATTCCATCCATTTTTATTAACATAATTTACATCGAATCCCATTTTAATCATCAATTTTATTGTATCTTTATGCCCGAAGTACGACGCAACCATTAATGAATTTCGTCCTTTTTTGTTTTCGACGTTTATGTCACATCCACTTGCAATTAACAACTCTGCAATGTTGTCATGCCCGTTTTGAGAGGCTAAAATTAATGCATTACAACCGTCATTGTTGACAGCATTTACATCACAGCCTCTATTTATTAACAGCAGTACAACTTTGTCATGTCCATTAGTGGCTGCCAAGATTAATGGATTACATCCGTCGTTGTTGACAGCATTTACATTACAGCCGCTATTTAGTAGCAATTCTACAACATTTTCATGCCCACTTTCAGAGGCTAACATTAATGCATTATTTCCAACATCCTCAGCATTTAAATTAACTCTACAATCAATAATCTGCTTTAATGTTACATCATGCCCATGTTTAGCAGCAAACATTAGTGCATCCAGTGTGCATTTTTCATTGCCAAAATCATTGATCTTACAATCGATATTTACTTTTATCATCTTGAAACATAATTATTGCATTATTTAAATACTATATTTTATTAATACGTAGCATCTGTTTATTGTCCTCTGTTAAACTGTAAACGGTTTTCTTTTGAGTTCCTTTGTGAACTCTTTACCTAATCAATACATCTTCCGATATCCAAGAATGTAATGTCAATTTCCGATTAAAAGCCGACATCGAAACTCCCATTAATGTACGCGTCAGGAATTCCTTGTCAGGTATATCTCACATTTTCAACCACCAAGCCTAAGATGCAAATATATTTGATTGTGTTGAATACCTTCAACGAGGAAGTTATTTTTAAAACATGACTAAACAAAATCACTAAATTCAAAACGCTATAGATCTAGATACTTTTTCTTTCCAACCGAGAATGATTTTTTCATCTACAGAATAGGAACATTTATTACGTTATAACAGAGAAACACTAAGTGCAAAAAATTCAGTTTAACTTGTTCGTAAAATCTCGATGTTAAAAAACTACATCACAAAAAATCCAAATCCTAGGAATGGTAAACCGGTTTATCCTGTATGCTGGGGTCAATGCTCGTGTGTTTTTTTCTTTAAATCGGCTTCGTGCTACTCCTGTCCGCTGTGTTCGTCTGACACACTGGTTTACAGTGCTTGGTTTTTCCAACATGACAACCCTCTGTGAAGTGGAGTGTTTAAGGTATGCTATTAGAACCAAGTGGTGCAAATAGTTTGTGTACTGTAGCATGACTGTGCGATGAAATGAAATATTTTTATAAGAGAAGCGACTGGGTCGACTAGCAGCTAGTGTGTTGTGGTGCTGTATATAAAAAGGACAAATAAAAGAACTCGGGGAGGTAGAGGTGGACCGTGAACGCAGGTTGTGGTAGTACGAGAGGCCAGAAGACGGGTTATATACTGGAGAAAGGGATTTGAGTTGATTAAAGAGACAATTTTGTGTTACTTTAAGAAACGTTTTGTCAATTAGGCTACTGTTAAGATCCCAACAACAATAAATCAGACCCTTCACCTTTACTTACAAAAGTCCTTAAACTGTTTTTAGATCGTTTATGATTTTGTGTACTTTCTGTAATTAATACATTTTCCTAAATGCATCAATGCTGTATACATTTTCATATCAAATTTAAAAAATGATATCAGAAAACTGCATTGTTTATAAATTATTATTTATTTTATTACTACTTTAGGTCACTAGCAATTAAATGTTTAAAAATTTGCTACGTCACATTAGGTCAAGTGTCTTTTTGGAATTGGTCAAAGACCCATTAGGCTTAGTTGTTACTGGTCAGTTTTAGGTTAGATAGAAATAGGCTAGAATAATCTAGAACTTAGGGGAGAGAGCGTGTGTAAGTTGAGTTTACCCTAGTGTATAGGGCTACAGGACATTACCCCCTGGAAATCCCCCCCCCCCGGAATTTCCCCCCGTATTTACCCCCCGGAAAAATTACCCCCTGTCAATTACCCCCCCCCCCCCCGGGGGAATAATCCCCCCCCTCTCAAGTTAGAATCCTAACTCTAACTAGAATTCTGTACCTTTATACTACTTTAATCCAAATCTTAAGAAAAAGACCAAAACCTAAGCATCCACCTTAGCCTAAAACTTCACACAAAAATAAAAACAACGCTAGACACAACCCTAACCCTAAGCATAACACTAGCTCTAACCCTAACCCTAACCCTAACCCTAACCCTAACCCTAACCCTAACCCTAACCCTAACCCTAACCCTAACCCTAACCCTAACCCTAACCCTAACCCTAATCCTAAACCTAACCCTAACCCTAACCCTAACCCTAAACCTAACCCTAGCCCTAGCCCTAGCCCTAGCCCTAGCCCTAACCCTAACCCTAAAACCTAACCCAAACCCTAACCCTAACTCTAACCCTAACCCTAACCCTAACCCTAGCCCTAGCCCTAACCCTAGCCCTTACCCTAACCCTAACCCTAAAACCTAACCCAAACCCAAACCCTAACCCTAACTCTAACTCTAACCCTAACCCTAACCCTAACCCTAACCCTAACCCTAACCATAACCATAACCATAACCATAACCATAACCATAACCATAACCATAACCATAACCATAACCCTCACCCTAACCCTAGCCCTAGCCCTAACCCTAACCCTAACCCTAACCCTAACCCTAACCCTAACCCTAACCCTAATCCTAATCCTAATCCTAACCCTAGCCCTAGCCCTAGCCCTAACCCTAACCCTAACCCTAACCCTAACCCTAACCCTAACCCTAACCCTAACCCTAACCCTAACCCTAGCCCTTGCCCTAGCCCTAGCCCTAGCCCTAGCCCTAGCCCTAGCCCTAGCCCTAGCCCTAACCCTAACCCTAGCCCTAGCCCTAGCCCTAACCCTAACCCTAACTCTAACACTGTCCGGGGGGTAATGTCCTACTGGGCGGGGGGTAATTGACAGGGGGGTGATTACTCTGGGGGGTAATGTCGGGGGGGGGGGGAATGTCCGGGGGGGGGTAATTGACAGGGGGGAAATGCCCTGTTCCCAGTGTATAGTTAGACCAAGTGTGTTTTGTTATCCCAAGGTCGAATGCGGTATAAAAGCTTGATTGAATTCTTGTAAGGTGGGTTTGTGGGTAGCGGTGAAAACGAGGAAATGTTGTGAATAGATAAACGGGACCATCGAAACAAAGATTGCTTACAAACGTGTTTGTTTGTTGATTGTAACAACAAGTATAGGTTATAGGTTTAGATATATAATAAGAATAAGTGTAGGCGTAGGAATATATATTTAGGTCTAGGTGTAGGAGTTAATGTTAATGTTTGTGGTTGTGGCGGTGGGTGTGGGTTAGGGTGTGGCGAGGGTTGGTTTATATTTATGCTTATGTAAATGCTAATTTTTGTTGTTTGTTTTTGTGTGTTTGTGTTATTTTTTTTTTTGAGGTTGTAGCGAGGGTTAGGGTTTATATTTGTATTTGAGTTTGTGTTTATGTTTATTTTTTTGGTTTAAGTGGTTGTTTTTTAGGCATAGAAGTGCGATTTATGTTGATGTTAATGTTTATGTTTTTGTTAATGTAGTTTTGTTGAGTGTTAGTTTATGCTTATGTATTTATTTATGTTTGTGGTTGGTTTTTACCGGAGTTAGGTTTAAGGTTAGGTTTAGCGTTATATAACTCTTCAAAGCGTCAATGTATGCATATAGAAATCTAATGCGAAACTTAACATCCAATTCGAAAATGAACTTAATCCTAAAACCTGTGCTGCGTTGGTTATATGACGCTTAACACACAAGTCACGGTCCTTTACACATGTGTTGCACTAAAGTCAGTGCACAGCCTACACAATTACACGGGACGGTTAGTACAAAATATAATAGCGGAAATAAGGTCACCTATATGGCCTCTACAAATACTTCAAAAAATGAATACAATTTGAAATATCACTGAATGTAGCCATAAAGTACGTGCAAGTACTTCCAGTGTTATGATGCACAAGTGTGGTAAAAATGAAGCCTTATGGATATCTATAAAAGATAAAACCAACCAGCCAGCCAAATAGTCAGTCCGCCTGACACAGACATAGATATATATAATATAGATAGACAAACAGAGCGTCAAGCAGCTGTAGGCTTAATTTCACACAACAGTTGACCCATTTGTTCCTTTCGAATGCAGACATTAATAAATCAATAAACGAATCATTGTTATGCTTATATTTTGATTAAAACAAACATTTCCATTCACCTCTGTATACAACTAATTAGAACATATTTACACAAGATAATGCTGGTGGTAATACAGGGATGGTTTATTGAGTTATAAAACGGTCAAGTGCTATAGCAATTAGTGGCTCAAGTAAAAGAAATAAAATAATCAGTTTAATTCAGTAATTCTAAAAATACAATATTTAAATAATATGGAATGGTTACCTTTTAATATTTTTATATTGTATTGAGCAGTTTTATACATAAAGCAATATATACTTTATATTAAGCGTTTTAATGTACGTGTTTTATCATCAAACGGAAACCGTACTGTCTTCGACATTAGGAGTTGTTTAGGTTTAACATTAAGATTGGGATTAGGATATTATAAACAAACTGAGTAAATTATATTTAGGCCCATCTGTAAAAATATAAAGCCCTAAATATAAGTAAAGCTTACACAGAAATCTAATTTGTTTTGTATCTAGTTAAAGGGTAAGAATTGTGAGCCAGCCATAAGAGGAGCTACTCATATTAGTTTGAGAATCACTTGCGGAGTTAATCAGAAACTTATCAGCAACTGCTGTAGTTAATCTGAAGTTGTCTGATTTTCCATGTAACAGCTTTTAGATTTATTAGCCGAATACAGTTTCATGGACTATAAAGTTCTAGTTTGTTCATTTACGGAATAGTAGTTCGACTGTAAGGTGAATACAAGTACTGTTTCAGTAACGGGTATCATATCTGTGTCATATCATATTCTGTCTAATCCAGTAATGGTTCTGCGTGTCATTTCGTTGGCGTTTCTTTTTGTAATTTCGTTTAATGGAATTAATGGTACGTTATATATTTATAATAGTACTTTTGCATAGGGACAAATTGCAAGTTGCTTGATTGGGTCCTAGGACCTTTGATCACAGGTGCTTTGACCATAGGGGGTTTGACCATAGGGGGTTTGACCACAGCGGAGCTTTGACCATAGCGGTGCTTTGACCATAGGGGGTTTGATCATAGGGGGTTTGACCATAGGGGGTTTGACCATAGGGGGTTTGACCACAAGTGTTTTCTCAGCAGAGGGTCTTTGATCACAGGTGGTCTATCAACTGGTGTTTGATCACAAGCGCTATATCCGGCTTTGATCATAGGTGTTTTGTTCACATAGGGTCTTTGATCTCAGGTGTTTTGTCCACATAGGGTCTTTGATCTCAGGTGGTTTGTCCAATGCTGTCCATATATGGTAAGGATTTATTTTAAAAGTTGCTAAATTATATTTTAAATTTCGACATGATGTAATTATATGTTAAATCATCATGTATAAATACAAGTCATCTAAACTACTCTATGCCAAAACCATGGAGAATCTTGGAGAGTATAGCACGTCGAAAAAAGGTAAAAGAACTTTGTTGTATCGAGGCCACGAGTTTTGACTACACAGAGAACGCCAAGACCGGTCACGCGTTTGGCGGTGTACGAAGAATCGCACTTGTAAGTGCAAAGCTTCAATAGTTTCCTTGAAGGTCTACAGATGGACTGCACACGGCAAAAGACAACTTTCTTGCAAGTTGTCGCAGGGGCAAGCTACCCATCTGAGAAGCGATACAAGATGCTGCACGAAAAAAGTACAACGTGTTGTCCCGACATATGGTCAAACAGATGTACTGACATATTTGCGTGCTATAGCACATCTGTCATTTAGTTAACCATTTTATGTATTACATCTTTGACTATATTGTTGGCAAGTTTTGTATCATTTTTTATCCTTTATATATTCTATGTATTTTCAAGTACATCTACATTATTTATTTGTGAAACTTGATATACGTCACATTATTTGCGTTTCATTTATATTTAAAATAAACCTATTAGGCCTAGCACCAGCCTTTATGTGGAGACTAAAATATAGTTTTTGGCTTTTTTTAAATACATGTTAATTTCTATCAACGTACTATCAGGAAACATGTATAAAATCGTGTTAATTGTATCACACCTATGATCAAAGCCGGACACAGCGCTTGTGATCAAACACCCGTTGATAGACCACCTGTGATCAAAGACCCTCTGCTGAGAAAACACATGTGGTCAAACCCCCTATGGTCAAACCCCATATGATCGAACCCCCTATGGTCAAAGCACCACTAAGGTCAAAGGCCCGCTGTGGTCGAACCCCCTATGGTCAAAGCCCCTAAGGTCAAAGCTCCGCTGTGGTCAAACCAGCTATTGTCAAACACCCTTTGGTCAAAGCACCTGTGGTCAAAGGTCCGCGCACCTTTGATTGCTAATCTGAAAGTCTCGAGTTCGGATCCTGTGCTAGATTCAGTTTGGCACCAGTTAGTCCTTTAAGCTTTGATGTGTAGGTACCTGACTATCGTTACGTAAAGTATAAGCGATTCGGTATAGTGCTGACCACTATATCCCTATATAATCGAGGTTACCTGCTCCATGGACTGCAGTGTTCGAAAGTGTATTTCCCTTTAAGTTTGCATGCAGTGCGACGAATTTATAATTTTTGAACTCTAAGACGAAAGAGAATTTTAAAATAAGACATAATTAGATTTGACGACGAATTTATCTTTTTTGAAATCTAAAACGAAAGAGAATTTTTAAAAAAGATATAACTAGATGCATGTTTTTGTTGAAAGGATGTAGTTTTGAAGATGTGTATATGCTTTGTATGGTTTTTTTTTCACTGTCTGAGTCATATTATAATTTCAGGAACAAACGTCACATTCTTTTCTTCATCGGGCACCGTCATCAAAGAAATGACTAAAGCCTTTGAGATTACATGTGTCCTTGATGTAAGTTTGTATCACTTATTTTTATCGATGGCGACTAAAATAGTGTGATCGCAGACATGGTAATTTGTGTTTTCTGTGTCATATATTCTCAATTACAAGACCTTTACAAATTTTAAAGTATGGCGTAATTTACTTCACATTTTAAATCAATGATGAGATTATAAAAGAAACAGAGTTGAGGCAATTTCTCTGATTGTGGTAGAGTGTTCAGTTTTGTTTACTTTTTAGTATTTTTTTTTTGTTTTGACTGAATAATTACGTATTTCTTTAAGCAGTAACGTTTATTAGATAAAATGAGATTAAATTGAAGCAATACGCACTAAACACAAATACACAGACACCTCTGTAATATGTTATATGTATTAACACGCTTAATACTTTCATTATAGGTGACAGAGAACGAGAATTTAACCATTACATCAATAAACATTACTAGAGGTAAATTGTTTTAAATTTCAAAAATAAAGTTGATGACCCATTATTAATATCACTTTATAAACAATAAAGTATTGTAAAATAACGTTTACATACTAAATATATAAAGCTATAACCTATTAAAACTATTAATAATGGTATACTTTACCATATTTTAGGTTATGATGAAGAGATTGCTTCTGTGTCTAAGAATAGTCTTGCTAAAGTTTACAACGACTCAAACTCAATCACAGCCACTGGGAAAATCCAACAAAATAAACAAGCTGAAAAAAGCTTTATAAAGATAAAGTGGTCTAAACCAAGCCTAATCGAACCCGGCATGTATATATGCTCTGCAAATTTTGAGAATCAATCATTGGAAACAACGGCCCTAGAAAGTAGCATTGACATAGATGTAAGAGACCCAAACCCAACGGAAATTATGTCATATATTGTGGGGATTGAGAAAGCAATCGAAGAAAATAAGAAAAGTATCAGAAATTTGTTTCAAGTAACTGAAAATGCAAGAATAAATTTTGGAGCATTAGAACGAAATATCAACAATAAAATGTATGCACAGAGTGAATTACTTACGCCACATATTGAAGAAGGAATCATCGAATGCAACTCTCGTATGTTTACCCGCACACCTGATAAATTGAAGGCACTAGTCGTAAGGGTGTATTTCCGAAAGTCTTACATGAAGAGTCCCAAAGTTTTTCTGGGCATCACCACTTTAGATATGACGAGACATTCCAACATTCGGTACTATGTAGCTGTCCAGCAGGTGTACACTCACGGCTTTGACTTTGTGTGTGGCTCGTGGGACGACTCTTGGGTTTACAAAATGAAAACATCCTGGATTGCATTTAAATCCTAAATATGCATTGTAATAAAATGCTGACCATTGTATTCTTGTTGATATTTATCTTTTTTTTAATTGAAATTACTTTTAATAACATTTTCACATCAATACATTTAATTCAGATGGATTTCTAAAATAAAATACAACTCATGTAATGCATACAAAGTAATAGACTCTATTTAAAAAATTGAAAACAGAACAATTTACAATTTAAAATAACGATTTTCTTAACTTTTAAGTTGAAATATAGTCTTTTTAAATTCCAATTTTAACATCTTTTCACAAGTTATACATGATAATAACTACATTGCGTATACTGGTATTTAAAAATAAAAATAAATTAGAGTTATCTCCCATAAACTTTCTCATATATTTTTATGCCTTTACATTTGTGACATATATAGTATACAAGTCTAGACAATACAAAATTGCAGCAAGTTAGTATACATGTTCTACGGGAAAAAATATTTCATATAACATTCACTTGCTGCGAGTTTGTTTTTTCTAGACATGTATAGTATATATGTCGCAAGTGTGAACGCGGTGTTGAGTGAGGCACGTTTACTATTTCGTATACAGAGTATAAAAGAAGTATTGTGATAGTGCACACAAATCACGTGAAATTTTGACGTTTTTCACCCCATTACACTTCAGTACTTCATAGTATACGGTGTATAGAGGAGTTATTTTAATCGGACATCCAAAACAAGATTTTTCAAATCTCGGCGTTTACGTGTCTTCAAGTCGGAAAATACTGGGCATTGCAATTTTGTCAGTGTGTCTCTGTGTGTGTCTGTCTGTGAACACGATAACGTGAGTACCGTTACAGCTATGTTGATGAATATTCCTTTACATGTATTTGTCCAATGTGTACGATGTCCGGTAGCCGGAAGAGGTACTTACACAACGTCCCGTTTCTGAAAAGCCAATAACTCGAGTACCGTTTAATTTCGGTGAAAGAAGTTTAAGATTTAATACCTTGCTTGCTAATGCTTCTTTAAAATTGTGAACGATTTCCGGTAAACGGAAACGGTAAACAACTCTATTTCCGTGTCTATACTATAAAGTGAGTACTGTTCCAGGTAGTTGGACTAAATTCTATATTTTCCAACTTAAGAGGTTTGCACATTTAGATGTAACACATATAATTGTTACCAGCCGATGGGGGGGGGGGGGGGTAAATAAAAAAGTTGTAACTTATCGGGTTACTGCCCCTGTGGGACCGCAACTATTGATGTTGTTTTTTGCATGCTCTTCTTTGAGCGATGCTTACCTGTGTTTCATGTCTTGTGACATGGGATTATGGTTATTTCGTGCCTGGGACCGTGTCAATCAGACCTAAGGCTGCTGTGGACACGGAGGGTGACGTTGTCTATAGGTAGACATAATGAAGGGCTACAGTCGTCGTCTTCTTTGGTTCTTGTTTTGCTGTGATCTACTGTTTTCTTCACGGTTTTCTACTGTTGTTCTACATCGCCGTTTATGGCTTGATGTAATGTCAATAAAGCCAGTAGTTGACAACAGCGTCGTTTCAGTGTGTACTAAATCTCAGGGTCAGCCCTCTTAAACACAGCACATCAGTGGGTAAAAAGCATCCTCATTGAGTGAGTGTTACATAAATATAAAAATTACTGAATTGCTAAACCGAAATGTCCAGAGATCCCCGGCAGATGAGGCTGGATACCTGAGGACAGCAACCCATCTAAGTGAGACAACTCCAAATCAAACAACTGATATCTTATAGTTTGTTCTTGAATGGACACAGACTACGGGGTAAATTAAAAAAGCAAAGAAGGATGACATTGTAGTCAGCAGCGTATATGGCGCATAAAATATTGACATAAAATATTGTGTTGGAGCCCTTTCAACATTACAATAAAGAACGAAGTAGAAGAAAACTAAATAAAGTGTAAACTAATATGTCAAAAATAAGTATTTTCGCTTAAGATTTTTTTTTGCTATTAGGCTTAAAATGTATGCCAGTTGCCGTGACTACACTATAATACTATACATAAAAAACTTAACATAAAACTCTTAGATAATTTTAAACTGGTATTTTTAATAGTAGAACAAATCACAAATTCATTTTTTTAATTTCTACAACACAGCTATCTATTCCTTATGAATGAAAAAATAAATCCTTTCATAAAGTCCGCTTTCTGTAAAATGAAATTCACCATTGTATAACACAAAATGTACACTTTTATTAGACCTGCGCTATGCCATACTATCAGGGGCGTAGCGAGGGGGGGGGGCGGGGGGTGCGGACCGCACCGGGTGACACCATTTAGGGGGGTGACACCAAGGCAAAATATATATAGAAAAACTTGAGGGGGTGCAAATTGAAAGTTTGAGTGGGCGGGCAAATCGAAAATTTGAAAGTTTGTCCCCGGGAAGTGTCGTTACGCCTCTGGGGGGGGGGGTGACACCATTAAGTGCCGCACCGGGTGACAATCGACCTCGCTACGCCACTGCATACTATATATAAAATAAAATACACACGAAAACAACTCATAGCACAGGATAATAATGGAATTGAAATAACGCTGACAGAACTGGTATCAGCTAGTTAAATACAGAGCCAGGCTACAATGCGTGAAATACATCGACCAGTGTCTTACCTGTTGGTTCGTCACGGTCCAAACTGTAAATTACTGCTGTGTTGATGGGGGCAGATACAAACAGACAATGGAAAATTGACGAATATTTTTTTGTGGTAACACAAAAAGATGGATTTTTAATTTATGTAACAAATAAACGTTAAATTGCTATTTAGTAAGACGTTTTTTTTTTACTAATGCGACCAAACGCGACAATTTAACACATTAACACTATGGTATTTACAGACAAAATAAAAGTTACACTAAAAAGCCTTTTATCGGTCCTCTTTAAAGGTGCATTTACAATCCATTTTATAACAAAAATTATATATTTACTCTAAAATTTGAAAATAACCTCACGTTTCTCTGCATTTTATAATTTTAGATAAAAGCTTTTAAAATATATATCTTTCAAATTTTTGTTAGTTTCATTGTTAAATGTTAAATTATTAAAAGATTAAGGCTTTTTAGAAAACGAATGTACAAAAACATATAAACATCTTTAAAAATGGTTATCGAATCCCTCTAAATAAACTCGGCCGATGCCGTTTTAAGTTTGAGGTTGATTCCTTAATAATTTTCACCCAACCACAATGTAGTATCGACTTCACGAAGAAAAAAACGAATAGTTCTTAGTGTCGTTAATCGTCAAAACTAATAAGTACTTACATTGTATCACTTTCAAAGCGAAATATAATTATAGTTTTATTAATAGACTCACAATAATGCATGGAGTTGGGGCTACTAACAAAATGGCAGCCAGGGACTATTTTCCCAATACAACTAACGTGTTGTGCACAACGATTTATTTTACTCGAACTAGTAAAAATAAAGAGTAGTGAATAAGAAAAATGGTCTAATGCAAAACTGAATGATCGTAAATGATAGTATTATAAACCAGAGTAAGTTTTATACATATATTTTATAACAAAATAAATAATATTGATTACATTTGATAACGAGGCAATTCCCATTGAAAACACTGAATTACTATTGATACAAATCTCGCCTGTGATCGTTTGTAATTTAAAACGTTTTTCAACAGACAATAAATAAAATGTTATGTGGCTCATTTCTATTTATCATGGAGATTTATGCATGTGCTCAAACTCGTTACAATGTTAAGTTTAAGATTACTTGAGTTTAACAAAACATTTAAACAACACATTTCATTTAACTATCATTAACATAATTAGTAATTTAAGTTGGCATATATTGTCTTGGTAAAATGATGAAATTGTCATTTCGTAAATTGCCGGTTTTATTTATTTCCTTAGATTTTTTCGGATCGATAAGGGAGGTTATATATATATATTTTTAACCGAGTAGATAATATGCATTATCTGCCTTATTTCTGACTATCCATTACTATGTGAAAATAACAGTTACGAACCTACTGATCTGTTTCGCATGACTTAACGCAACAAATTGTACCATAAAACGTTTTCTAGCCGAAAGACGGGGGGGGGGGGGGGGGGGGGGAAGTCGAGCTCCTTTTTTTCTGCTTCTTTCTTAATTGCAGTGTTGGACGGGATTTCCTTTAACACAGTCATTTGCCCGGAAGTTCTAAATCGGGACTTTTCTTTGAGGTTTTGCGACTACTGTGATGATGATGACGCTGCGTATGTATTATGCTTTAGCCCATAGAACGCCTGGCTTCCGAGTTATTAATAGTGCTCTATATCTATAGTCCATTTTGACGACATAGATAACCTACAAGTTTCACACAAAAAGTAAAAATACTAATGAATACTATAATAATCTTAAAATTTTATTCTGTAAATTAAGAGTTGAAATGTTAACAGTTTATAAAGTTTTATAAGTTGTACAACTTAAAGAACATTTATGGATCCTAGGATAATAAAATAATCATATTATTTTCTTTTATTATTTATTTAATAAATCGGAATATATTAATACTTATGATAATGTAATACAATATTAAAGAGAATAACGTGATAGCATAACAATACACAAATAAGTTTAAATGAATATATAATGCAATTAGGTGTGGATTTTAGTCTGTGTTTTAAGTTTTATTTAATGTAAACATCACTGACTGTCTTAGCTCTTTCATACCTTCTTAAGGTGGGGAGCAATACACATATGATGGGAAAGAAACAAAACAATTCAAAAAAGAAAATGTGTGCGACATATATGGGACGTCCCTAATATGTAGCGTCCCTTGATTGTGTGTGTGTGTTTTGCTGGAACGACAGATACTCTCTTTTTACAAGCTTTTATTTAACTCACTTCCTCGTTAGTATGTCGTCAGTCGTCAGTCTGTCTGTCGTCAGTCTAGATCGAAACGCAGGAGTGAAAATTCGGACAGTTCTACTTGACCGATACGATTCACAGTTTGCACGTGGGTCAAGACATGAAGACAATGCAATCTGAAACTTAATTTGACTTAATTGGATGCCTAATTAATTTTTTATGAATTAATTAAAATTTGGACCGAATTAGTAGGCATGTCTATCCAACCACACCACACGCGACATCACATTCAATAGCTGCGCCATAAGGTTCAATGGCTGCGCCATCACGTTCAATAGACGCGCAATGGTTTTTAGTCATGTAACACTATAGTAAATAAAACATGTAAAGTACTGAAAAAAAAAAATTCATAACAAGCTTTTATGTACCAATGCACTAAAAAGTAGAAAATAAATTATACACTACTGTTTAAATTACTATAAAGAAAAGCGTGGGTCTCTTCTCAAATATTAGTAAAGGTATCCAATAGGTACTAAAGTACTAAAGTGACCCACGCTTTTCTTTACTTAATTACTCCTTGATTTACAGACGCGCATAAGTCAATTTAGTGAACGACATTTTATCCACATTCTATCGCACTAAATAAACAAACGTATGGATCATGGTGCTCACGGAAAAGCCTAGAGAGCCAAATAGCACCCTGCGGAGCTCCTGAGCGAGTGTAGCAATTCATAATATTCATAGGCTATCGCGCCATTTAAAACGAACATAGGCGTCATAGTGCCACGGTTGAGCCCACGGCGCATAATTGCCACTTACCGGATGGATAATCAAACATTAAATTTGCCCATCGTGTCTTTAGTATATAGACTTTAAAAAAAACGTGCTGACAAGGAGCCCGGGGAGCTTCGGGACACGCAATCACCAGGGCGTTAGATGGCTGCGTCTGTTGTAGTTTTACCGCCCTTCCCGCTATTCCAGACGCCCGATTAACGGATACCATGTGTTAGGATAGCCGCTCTGGATCGCACCGTCCCTGGCGAGGCCAATAAGAATTGTTTTTTTCGCAGAAACTTTATCGGAAATATTATTATCAACTCCCAATGGCACTCGGATGAACGGTGTCAAACCACACTTTTAATTTTTATACACCGTATATAGAGAAAAATCGCACCCCCCCCCCCCCCCCCCCGAAGCATTGCCCTTGAGAAATTTAAACATTTTTTTTTTTGCAGAAACCCCCGCGGTGTGTTTTCATCAATTCACCAAAATGTCATTACGATCGGAAGAACTGCTTCGAACGGTAATCGACTATTATATTTAATTACCGTATATAGGAAATAATTAAATTATGCCCTGACAGGGCGCCAACCCCTGCGAATTTGAAATATTACTTTTCGCAGAAACTCACCAGAAGTATTCTCATCACGTTTCCAAATTTTCGTGCCGATCGCATGAAATGTGTAATGATGCAAGAAAGTCAAACAGACAAACCTAAAAACACACATACATTCATATATATATATATATATATATATATATATATATATATATATATATATATATATATATATATATATATATATATACGTGTATTTAAGTTAGTTAGGAAAATCATAAAAAATATACCACTTTGAACATTTAAAAAAAACGTTCAAGTGCCTCATCTGCAGTTGGTCGTTTTTTAGGATTCATGTGCAACAATTTTTCCAATAAAAGTTTTATAGATTTAGATGAACTTTCTGGAAGTTGATATACTGGCCTTTTTCTACATTTATATCTGTACGCAATTTGTGCATCCAAATATCCTGGAAAAGGTGGTTTCCCTGTAGCCATTTCAACAACTGTACACCCAACACTCCTATAAAATATTATTACATTTAAGCAACATATAATATATACGTTAAATTTTAAATTGGTATTTGAATAAATTGAACACACATGTTTATGATTAAATTAATTATAAATACTTAATGAAATGTTTCGACTTTAAACTACAATTATGTGAAACGTTTTTATAAACATTAATTGCTTGTTTGAATCATCAATTAAGTTAAAGCGCATGTATTGATTTTAAATGAATAAGAAACAGCTAATCACATGCGAAAAAAAATTAAGATATATTCACCAAATATCAGCCTTTAGAGTGTAAACTGTTTTTTCATTTCCACAAACAACTTCCGGTGCCATGAAGTTAGAGGTCCCTACAACTGATCTTGGTGAAGTTGTCTCCAGAAGTTTTGATAAACCAAAATCCGCTAGCTTCAAATTATTTTCATCTTTTAGTAATATGTTAGCTCCTAAAAAAAGAATTTATATATATATATATATATATATATATATATATATATATATATATATATATATATATGTATATATATATATGTGTGTGTGTGTGTTTGTGTTTGTGTGTGTGTGTGTAATTTACAGATATGTTTGTTGAAAGTATTATAATCGTATGCTATATTTAGAATTTTCAAAGCAGTTTAATAAATAAAATCATGCTTATTCAACCTTTAATGTCTCTGTGTATTATCTGTGGATTAAAGTTGTGAAGGTAGGAAACTGCTTCCAGTATTTGCTTTGTAAACTGAAATATTTTGGATTCATCGAGCGGGTTGTTTTTTGCAATATATCCGGATAAGCACCCCTTAAACAATGTATTGAAATAATATTAGTGTATGTTGTTAATGACGATGATTATGTAAAATATATCTAAATATATTCAAAACCCTGTGTAAATTAAAGGCAATTAAATATTGAGCTTAATGCAGTTAGTTTGTGAAATAACGATCGTTGTAGATATATTATTTTTAAATAAACGCATCAAATAACTATAATTTGATCAATGTGACGCTATACAAATTACTTGGGATTATCAAGTTTTTAATATTTAATCACACGTTTTGGGTTTGTATTTGTTTTTCTTCTTCGCTTTTTAATTCGAAGGTTTAAGGGATTTCCTTTCAAGTAGTAAGTGTCTTGTTATGCATCATTTATGCGTACTCCAATTTTAGCCTGTTTTTCAGTAGTTGTTTGATTTTGGAGTTGTCTCTTCTAGAAGATTCGCAATCTAAGCTGTCGGGCCCACCTTTAATTGCTCTATGACGCACTTTTAGGGACCATACTCCTAATATATCGAGGTGAGTGAAACATGTTACCTCTACTTCAGCTACCCCGATTGAATATAGTTACATATTTTTAAAAAGAGATGCATAATATAATACAATAAGATATGAATAGCATATTAATTTAATAAGATATCGAAATAAGAAAAATATATTTTAGTACAAAAACTTAATATACATTTAAATAATTATAAATTAAGCATTTATTGTTTCCAAAATGTAAATACCTGTGGCATATATTCGAAAAATAAATAAATTCTATTTTCTTTGATCTCAAAGCCGTAAAAATTTGTTATTCTTGTGTGCTGTAGTTTCATTAAAATATTCACTTCAGATAAATACCTTGACTGCAATGATAAAATTCATACAGTTTAGAATTTTCTTACTACTGTCAGATTTGTTTCTGTAAGTTAGTGTCGAGCACTTTGTCGTTTTACTTTTACAATACAATTAAATTAAATTATAAGGTTTTTAAAGGTTCAAATGGGAAATATCAAAGAAAGCAAAGAAAATAAACAGAAGAAAATATCTTGATGAAGATATTGAGAGCCGGGAAAATTTAAGTAATGTAGACTATGGCACATTGAACTCAGATTTTTAAACAAAATGTTTGACAATGCTGGTGATCTTGCAAAAACAGGGCTAATTATTCTACACTCAAGTGAAATACATGCTCAGTACTATTCCCCGTGATAAATAAATAACAATAGAATGGTACAGACGTACCTTAAATTTAAAGCCACATTTTTATACAGCTTATAGAAGATGCTAAAAAAATGATTCTAAGCACAATTTCGCACATAGCTCAAACGTTCGGCTACAATTTTTGTTTATAATTATTACTGTTATAAACCTACGTTTTTTGTTGTCAGTGCATTGCAATACAGAATACACATTTACGCAGACACACTCATATATATATATATATATATATATATATATATATATATATATATATATATATATATATATATATATATACAAAACATGTACACTCACACATACCTACACACACCACTTTTAACCTATTTGAAATAAAACCAAGTAAATGTAAGCCTGTCGCAGAACTGTTATCGACCAGTCAATAAAAAATATCAATATCGAATGGATTTCAGTAGGAATGAATTAACATGGACACGCCCTTTTTTATTGTATTACACTGTATGTTAGACATTTTTACTATACATGTCACGGGGTGGATTTTTTCTAAACCGCGTATTATTCCGAAAGCTACGCCACTGATATCAAAATTGAAAAAAAGACATGTCATCTCTTAATACATTCATATTAAATTTACCGCAATTTTAATTAATTGTTACTTCACAGATAAAATCATGGCTACATGCATTTGGGTCCGTTCCACCGTTTAGAATTAGTGTATAAATGAAGAGGTGTATTGAGGATACCAGGAAAAATATAACCACCTCCATAGCAAAATACCTTTGTGCATTAACGTAAATGTATCAGCCGTATGACGAAGTACACACGTACACACTTACAGACCCTTAAGTAACATATATATATATATATATATATATATATATATATATATATATATATATATATATATATATATGTGTGTGTGTGTGTGTGTGTGTGTGTGTGATTTTGTTTTTAAAACTGTTTTTTTGTAAAATTACCATCAATCTAAATTCTCAAATTAATACCTACCTTCTTACATTTTGTTTATTACAATAGCAAATATGCAAATAATATTTAAGCAAAAAATGTATCAATATACACACGATATTTGATTCTTTATAAATGATTTCTTTGACAGCAAGTCTGGTATCAGTATCAAGATCATCCCTGTCTACGATGTAAATACTTCCACTGGCGCCTTGTCCGATCAATACTTGACTTCTAGTCCAGTCATTTGGTACATACGGTGCTAAAAATTTATCTTTAGAAAGACATCATTTGTAAATATTAAGCGTATTCTAATTTGGTATTAATTTTGCAAGAACATAAATTTAACAACAAGAAAATCAATAAACTATATATCAAATAAAATCAACCCGATAGAGCTATAAAATGAAACAGATGATTAATGTTTTACATATTTTCAAAATATAGTTGTTTGTTTGAAACTAATTTCTTCGGACCGCTGTATTTCGTTTTATGATTGAGTACACCAAAACAATACAATAAATATATACATTCAAAAATGAACCGCAATTAAATCTACCTGCATATGGATCCAAAGAAATTGAAGATTTGTTGACATTCCAAAATATACAAGAAATCTTCCTTTGCAGTATTTTATCAGCGCGTATTTTTATAATTTCAAGAGTTTCCATTAAGTTAACTTTTTTTGTAAGAAAATTGGGATTGTTTTCAGCAATTTTCAAAAGAAAATCTACTGTGTTTACCTGAGATTTAACGTCGTTTGTATTTAGGATGTTTATACACATTCTTAAAAGTTTAATCATTTTTAAGTCATAGTGCTCCAAATGCATCGAAAATTTATTAAATAGTTTGAACACATTTTCACGCCTATGAAAAGAGGCAAGCATTAATGGATTAAATCCATGTGTATCAAAAGAATTAACATCCCATCCACTGTTGATTAACAGCAGAACAGCGTTGTAGTGCCCATTTTCAGAGGCTAGCATTAATGCATTTTTTCCATAAATATCAACAGCAGATACATCACTTCCAGCTGCAATTAAAAGTTTAATAATGTTTTCGTGTCCTTTAGCAGAAGCAAGCATTAAAGCGTTTCGACCATAGTTATTGCAAATATATACATTTCCCCCCTTATTTATTAACTGCACGACAATGTTTTCATTTCCTTGTCCTTCACAGTTAGCAGCATAGTCTAAAAGCTTGAAAACGCTGATGTTCCCTTTTATAAGGGCTAATGTAGATGCTTCATTTCCATCTTTGTTAACAGCATTTATATCAGCTCCACTGTTTATTAAAAGTTGAACAACTTTATCATGCCCTTTTGTAGCAGCAAACATTAATGCATTCCATCCATCATTGTCGACAGCATTTACATCATAACCTGCTGTAATAAATAGATCTACCGTCTCCTCATATACATCACAGCCAGTATTTAATAACAAGCTTACAACAGTTTCATGTCCGTTTTCAGAGGCTATAATTAATGAACTGTTTCCGTCTTTGTCAACAGCATTAACATCAGCTCCAATATTAATTAACTGTTGCACAACTTTGTCGTTCCCATTTTGAGCAGCTAACATTAATGCGTTCCATCCATCAATGTCGACAGCATTAACTTCACCACCTGCTGTAAACAATAGCTTTACCGTCTCCTCATGTCCTCTATCTGAGGCCAGCATTAGAGCATTTTTTCCATGCTTATTTGCAGAATTTATAGCAGAGCCACTCTTTATTAACAGTACTACAACAGGTTTATGTCCATTTTCAGAGGCTTTTATTAATGCACTGTTTCCGTCATTGTCAACAGTATTTACATTGCCTCCGCTATTAATTAACTGTTGCACAACTTTGTCGTGCCCATATTTAGCAGCAAACATTAATGCATTCCTTCCTGATTTTGCGACCACATCATAATCACCACCTGCCGAAAGCAACAGCTTAACCGTCTCCACATGTCCTCTACCTGAGGCCAGCATTAGAGCATTGTATCCATCCTTATTAATAGCATTTACATAACTTCCATTGTTTATTAAAAGCTCAACAACATGGTTGTGACCATTCTGAGAAGCCAACATTAACGCATTCCATCCATTAGTATTCAAAATGTTTATATCAATTCCCTTTTTTATTAAATGCTCAACTATATCGGTGTGGCCTGCATGTGAAGCAAACATTAATGCATTACACCCTTCAATGTCGACAGCATTAACATCAGCTCCACTATTAATTAACTGTTGTACAACTTTGTCCATCCCATCTATAGCAGCAAAGATTAAAGCATTCCATCCATCTTCGTCGACATCATTAACATCACCACCTTCTGTAAGCAATAGCTTTACAGTCTCCTCGTGTCCTCTACCTGAGGCCAGCATTAGAGCATTTTCTCCATTCTTATTAGTAGCATTTACATTACTTCCATTGTTTATTAAATGCTCAACTATATCGGTGTGGCCTGCATGTGAAGCAAACATTAATGCATTACACCCTTCAATGTCGACAGCATTAACATCAGCTCCACTATTAATTAACTGTTGGACAACTTTGTCCATCCCATCTATAGCAGCAAAGATTAAAGCATTCCATCCATCTTCATCGACAGCATTTACATCACCACCTTCTGTAAGCAATAGCTTTACCGTCTCCTCGTGTCCTCTACCTGAGGCCAGCATTAGAGCATTTTCTCCATTCTTATTAGTAGCATTTACATTACTTCCATTGTTTATTAAATGCTCAACAATATCGGTGTGACCTTCATGAGAAGCAAACATTAATGCATTCCACCCTTTATTGTGGACAGCATTAACATCACTACCTGCTGTAATCAATAGCTTTACCGTCTCCTCATGTCCTCTACCTGAGGCCAGCATTAGAGCATTTTTTCCATTCTTATTAACAGCATTTAATTTGCCTCCACTATTAATTAACTGTTCTACAACTTTGTCGTGCCCATATTCAGCAGCAAACATTAATGCATTCCATCCTGATTTTGTGACCACATTATAATCACCACTTGCCGAAAGCAACAACTTAACCGTCTCCTCATGTCCCTTACCTGAGGCCAGCATTAGAGCATTGGTTCCATTCTTATTCACAGCATGGACATCACTTCCGTTGTTTATTAAAAGCTGAACAGCATCGGTTTGCCCATTCTGAGATGCCATCATTAACGCATTCCATCCATTTGTATTCAAAAAATGTATATCAAATCCCTTTTTAATTAACATATCCATCGTTTCTGTATTCCCAAAATACGAAGCCATCATAAATATATTTTTTTTTTCTGGACTAATAACATTTATGTCACATCCATGTTTAATTAACAGTTCTGCAACTTTATTAAACCCATTTTTAACAGCAAACATTAATGCGTTATGTCCGAGTTTGTCGACAGCATTAATATCAGCTCCACTATTCATTAACTGTTGAACAAGTTTGTCATGCCCATTTTTGACAGCAAATATTAATGCATTCAATCTATTAATGTCTACAGCATTTACATCACAACCTGCTGTAAGCAATAGCTTTACCGTCTCCACGTGTCCTCTACCTGAGGTCAGCATTAGAGCATTTTTCCCATTCTTATTAGTAGCATTTACATTACTTCCATTGTTTATTAAATGCTCAACAATATCGGTGTGACCTTCATGAGAAGCAAACATTAATGCATTCCACCCTTTATTGTGGACAGCATTAACATCACCACCTGCTGTAATCAATAGCTTTACCGTCTCCTCGTGTCCTCTACCTGAGGCCAGCATTAGAGCATTTTTACCATTCTTATTAACAGCATTTACATCACAACAACTATTTATTAATAATAGTACTACAGTTTCATGTCCGTTTTTAGAGGCTAGAATTAATGCACAGTTTCCATCATCGTCGACAGCATTCACATCGCTTCCACCATTAATTAACTGTTGGATAACTTTGTCGTGTCCATTTGCGGCAGCACAGATCATTGCAGTCCATCCAATATTATCGACAACATTAATATCATCACCTGCAGTTAGCAACAGCTTTACAGTCTCCTCATGACCGTTACCTGAGGCAAGCATTAGAGCATTGGGTCCATTCTTATTAGAAGCATTTACATAACTTCCGCTATTAATTAACTGCTGTACAATTTTGTCATGCCCATTTGTGGCTGCAAAGATTAATGCATTCCATCCGTCTTCGTCGACAGCATTTACATTAACTCCACTACTAATTAGCTGTTTTACAACTTTGTCGTGCCCATGTTTTGAAGCAAAGATTAAAGCATTGGATCCGTCTTTAGTGACAGCATTAACATCACCATCTGCTGTAATCAATAGCTTTATCGTCTCCTCACGTCCTCTAACTAAGGCCAGGATTAGGGCATTGGTTCCATTCTTATTAGCAACATTTACATCACATCCACTATTTATTATCAATTGTACAACAGTTTCATGTTCGTTTTTAGCGGCTAGAAATAATGCACTGTCTCCGTTTTTGTCAACAACATTTACATCACCTCCATTATTAATTAACTGTTGTACAACTTTGTCGTGTCCATTTGCGGCAGCACGGATCATTGCAGTCCATCCACTTGTGTCTACAGCATTAACATCACCACCTGCTGTAATCAATAACTTTACCGTCTCCACGTGTCCTCTACCTGAGGCCAGCATTAGAGCATTTTTCCCATTCTTATTAGTAGCATTTACATTACTTCCATTGTTTATTAAATGCTCAACAATATCGGTGTGACCTTCATGAGAAGCAAACATTAATGCATTCCACCCTTTATTGTGGACAGCATTAACATCACCACCTGCTGTAATCAATAGCTTTACCGTCTCCTCGTGTCCTCTACCTGAGGCCAGCATTAGAGCATTTTTACCATTCTTATTAACAGCATTTACATCACAACAACTATTTATTAATAATAGTACTACAGTTTCATGTCCGTTTTTAGAGGCTAGAATTAATGCACAGTTTCCATCATCGTCGACAGCATTCACATCGCTTCCACCATTAATTAACTGTTGGATAACTTTGTCGTGTCCATTTGCGGCAGCACAGATCATTGCAGTCCATCCAATATTATCGACAACATTAATATCATCACCTGCAGTTAGCAACAGCTTTACAGTCTCCTCATGACCGTTACCTGAGGCAAGCATTAGAGCATTGGGTCCATTCTTATTAGAAGCATTTACATAACTTCCGCTATTAATTAACTGCTGTACAATTTTGTCATGCCCATTTGTGGCTGCAAAGATTAATGCATTCCATCCGTCTTCGTCGACAGCATTTACATTAACTCCACTACTAATTAGCTGTTTTACAACTTTGTCGTGCCCATGTTTTGAAGCAAAGATTAAAGCATTGGATCCGTCTTTAGTGACAGCATTAACATCACCATCTGCTGTAATCAATAGCTTTATCGTCTCCTCACGTCCTCTAACTAAGGCCAGGATTAGGGCATTGGTTCCATTCTTATTAGCAACATTTACATCACATCCACTATTTATTATCAATTGTACAACAGTTTCATGTTCGTTTTTAGCGGCTAGAAATAATGCACTGTCTCCGTTTTTGTCAACAACATTTACATCACCTCCATTATTAATTAACTGTTGTACAACTTTGTCGTGTCCATTTGCGGCAGCACGGATCATTGCAGTCCATCCACTTGTGTCTACAGCATTAACATCACCACCTGCTGTAATCAATAACTTTACCGTCTCCTCATGTCCACTACCTGAGGCCAGCATTAGAGCATTGGTTCCATTCTTATTAGCAGCATTTACATCACATCCGTTATTTATTAGCAATAGTAGAGCAGCTTCATGTCCGTTTTTAGCGGCTAGAAATAATGCACTGTCTCCGTTTTTGTAAACAACATTTACATCACCTCCATTATTAATTAACTGTTGTACAACTTTTTCGTTTCCATTTCCGGCTGCAATGACTAATGCATTCCATCCGTCTTTACTTACAGCATTGACATCACCACCTGCTGAAATCAATAGCTTAACCGTCTTATGATGTCCGTTACACGATGCTAGCATCAAAGAATTCATTCCATTTTCTAAAGTCGTATTTACATCACCTCCACTATTAATTAACTCTTGTACAATTTTGTCGTGTCCATTTCTGGCTGCACGGATTATTGCAGTCCATCCACTTTTGTCTACAGCATTAACATCACCACCTGCTGTAAGCAACAGTTTTACCATCTCCTCATGTCCACTACATGAGGCCAGCATTAGAGCATTGGTTCCATTCTTATTAGCAGCATTTACATCACATCCGTTGTTTATTAAAAGATGTACAACAGTTTCGTGTCCGTTTTTAGAGGCTAGAATTAATGCACAGTTTCCATCATTGTCAACAGCATTAACATCACTTCCGCTATTAATTAACTGTTGGACGACTTTGTCATGTCCATTTGTGGCTGTAAAGATTAATGCATTCCGACCGTGTTTATCCACAGCATTAACATCACCACCTGCTGTAATCAATACCTTAACCGTCTTATGATGTCCGTTACGCGATGCTAGCATCAAAGAATTAATTCCATTTTCTAAAGTAGTATTTACATCACCGTCACTATTAATTAACTCTTGTACAATTTTGTCGTGTCCATTTGTGGCTGCGAAAACTAATGCATTCCATCCGTCTTTATCGACAGCATTAACATCACCACCTGCAGTAATCAATAGCTTTACCGTCTCATGATGTCCGAAACACGATGCTTTCATCAAAGAGTTAATTCCACTTTCCATAGTAGTATTTACATCACATCCACTATTAATTAACTCTTGTACAATTTTGGCGTGTCCATTTGTGGCTGCAATGACTAATGCATTCCATCCGTCTTTATTGACAGCATTAACATCACCACCTGCTGTAATCAATAGCGTAACCGTCTCCTCGTGTCCTCTATCTGAGGTCAGCATTAGAGCATTTGTTCCATTCTTATTAGCAGCATTTACATCACATCCGCTATTTATTAGCAATAGTACAGCAGTTTCATGTCCGTTTTCAGCGGCTAGAAATAATGCACTGTCTCCGTTTTTGTCAACAACATTTACATCACCTCCATTATTAATTAACTCTTGTACAATTGTGTCGTGCCCATTTCTGGCTGCACGGGTCATTGCAGTCCATCCAATATTATCGACAGCATTAACATCACCACCTGCTATAATCAATAGCTTTACCATCTCCTCATGTCCACTACATGAGGCCAGCATTAGAGCATTGGTTTCATTTTTATTAGCAGCATTTACATAACATCCATTGTTTATTAAAAGTTGTACAACAGTTTCATGTCCATTTTTAGCGGCTAGATGTAATGCACTCTCACTGTTTTTGTCAACAACATTTACAGCACCTCCATTATTAATTAACTCTTGAACAACTTTGTCATGCCCATTTGCGGCTGCAAAGATTAATGCATTCCATCCGTCTTTATCGACAGCATTTACATCACCACCACTATTAATTAACTGTTGGACAACTTTGTCGTGTCCATTTGCAGCAGCACAGATCATTGCAGTACATCCAATATTATCGACAGCATTAACATCACCACCTGCTGTAATCAATACCTTAACCGTCTCATGATGTCCGTTAGACGATGCTTGCATCAAAGAATTAATTCCATTTTCTATAGTAGAATTTACATCGCCTCCACTATTAATTAACTCTTGTACAATTTTGTCATGCCCTTTACTAGCAGCACGGATCATTGTAGTCCATCCAATATTATCGACAACATTAACATCACCACCTGCTGTAAGCAATAACTTTACCGTCTCCTCATTTCCTCTATCTGAGGCCAGCATTAGAGCATTGGTTCCATTCTTATTAGTAGCATTTACATCACAGCCATTATTTATTAAATGTTGTACAACAGTTTCATGTCCTTTTTTAGAGGCTCTTTACTATCACGTTGTTCTTTTTCCTTTTGAAAAGCAAGTGGTGAATAATTCAAAGGATTTATACTAACAGTATTTAAAACAGTTTTATTGACTTCTGTGTATTGACCATTCATCTTTTTATGAAGCTATTTTGTTTCTATTGTTCAAGGAAAATACAAAAAGGACGTCTTGATGCTTTAGAATTAAAAACAAGAAGTAAATATTGGACAACTGGTTAAAGCAAAATTCTCATTTTTAATAAGTCTTATATTTAACATTATGTAAAATTACTTAGTTATTTGCAATATATATTATATGGTCCAATTTTACGTTACTATATAATAAAACGTTATTATAACATTGTTCCCATAGTAAACGTGTCCAATTTTTAAAAAAACATTAACTGTTATTATAGCTGTATTAATAACTTAACCTAGTCCATCTTTTTTAAAAATCCAGGAATGTAGTGAGAATTTTAGACACAAAAACCAATATCAGATATATGCCTAAGTTTCTTCGTCACAAATTCCTTGTATATCTCACATTTTTAACACAAAGCCACAGATCCATGTGTCTATGACGTTGTTGAATACCTTCTCTAAATGAGTTTTTTTTTTATCAGTAAAGCAACATTTATCACTCTAAAAACGGAATTAAACTAAGTGATAACAGAAACGTAGTTGAACTTGTTCAAGTCTAATCGTAAGTTATAGCCTACACCACAAAAAAATCCAAATCTTAAGTATGAAGCAGGCTTCTACATTATCGTTACAGAACCGGTTCTCTCCGGTATGCTGTTGTCTATCTTTACCTGCGTGTTACGCTTATAACTAATGTGTTCGTCTGACTTATATTTGCAAACTTTATATTCGTTTTTTTAACACGATAAATTCGAATAAAAACTTTAAAACAAAAGTTAAAGACCAAAGTTTGAGAGATCGCTTGACATATAGACGATTTACCTAACGTACGGTTCTTTTTCGTAGCATCTATTAGGGGACTCCAAATCCATTTACTTTTTTTAAATAGTAATATGTATAACTAAAGTTTTTAATATTTAAGTCAATGAATTAGTTTTGGTATTTTATATAGTATTTTGCTGTATGTATTTATTTTAGTAGTAATTGCATGCATAGTTATATTTGACCTGTGGAAGTTTAGATAGTAAGATAACCTCATACCTGACACCCTCCGAAAGTATCCACAAAACGCAACTTTACTGTGACCGCTCTACCAATCCTTTTTATAAAGGTATGTCTTTTAGGGGCTGGAGAGAGATTGTGTCAAAAAAGTGGGATACATTTTAAATGACGACGCTTCAAGTGGCAAGTAGGGCTGATTGATGCAGTCGACTGATTGTTTGCCAAAAAGAAACTAGGTTGTCTAGTATTCTTTTGAGTAGACATTTAAGTCTAATACATTTTTTATAGCCGGCAGATCCAGTATGACGATAACCGCTAACTGGGTTGTCTCATCCTTGGTTAAAACATCAATCATTTTATCAACTCATCCTTACAACTAAAATGTATTAATCACATTTTTTGTAAAGAATTATTAAATTTACAAGTCTTAGTCTAAAACAAGTTATGCAACAGTTTCTCTTTACTGTCTGTTTTTGCTTCTACCCTAATGCCGATCTTGTGTTTTATCTGTGCGTCCGTTTCTTCATTCGAAAACGCCCATCATGAGTCATGACTAGCGCAGCACACTCTAGCCCAAACTTGATAATCACAAGTCAAAACTACTTGATCGGTGAATGTTTACACACTCTTATCAGTGGCTGAAAAAAATAATCTGGGAGTGATCTTCCCATCAGTCCCTGCATCAAGTCAGTCGTGTAAACACCTGCCAATCAGCACTACAAAAATAGAGCTTTCAAGGCAAAACACTATCATAGCTTGTGCAAAGTAGAGAAAGAGCAGGTAGGTTTTGATCCCTTTGGGTTTGACTGCTCGTTCTCTACTTGGACTATATTCTGAACCTTTGTCTACCCTTGGCGTTGAAATACCACTTTTTGTTATTTTCCCTATTTCAGTAACGTCTGTTTCCATCCCCTCTACACGATCGATCTTTCCTAAACTTTCTCGAATATTCTTACGTAACACTACGGGGGATGGCAACTCGGGTAATATACATGATTTTTAATCCATTTTAATTACTTAAACTTTTTAAAATATAATAGAATCTCGTAGAAAAAAAGAATATCGCACTAAGTAAATGGCAAACAATATGTGTATTAAAGTTCGCAATGTTATCAGTACTTTGTATATTCATAAGCGATTTTTTGAGAAATCGAAAATAGCGTAAATAATTACTTTCAGTTAAAGGAATTTTCTTAAAATTTTAAAGAAGGAAGTACGTTAGAGTTTGTACAAACATGTAAAAATTCATTTATTTATCTGAAACAGTACTCATGTTATAGGCTTTTGAAAAATTAAAAGTAGAATAAGTCACACATCCAGTTAATGGAAATCGCTGAAAAGTTGATACAAGACTACACATGAGCTATAATACGTATATATTAAATTTTATCAACCTAGCTGTAGCGGCACTCAACTTATCGTATTCACAGAAATACATACACACACAGACATACGGACAGAAATGCTGATAAGAAATAAGAACGTATGTAAATAATCGAGTTCGGCTTCAGCTATGTTAAAGTTTATTTAAACCAGAAAACACACTGCATTATCTAATCTCCCTGTGGAATAATTTGTGTTTCCCCAGTCCCCACCCACATACTCTCGTTGCTGGGTGAAAGAAAATAGAGGAGAGGGAAAGACGGTGTAGCCTACTATCAGGTTCATAGGCTTATAGGTGGGCAGTGTTTCTTCCAGACTTTTTTCTCCGGGGGGGGGGGGGCTCTTGAAATTTTCGGGGGGGGGGGGGGCGGTAGACTTTCTTCGGGGGGGGGCGGACACTGTTAAAAGTATATATATTCTATATAAATTATATAGAGATGCCTGGAAGAAACTCTGTAGGTGGGTCTGGTTTAAACTACACGTAGTCATGAATTCAATACCAGGAAGTAAATGTTGTCACTGCTAAGGTAGCAGTGACTACATTTTTCACATAATAATGTACACTATTACCGGCAAAAGCCACTGTGTAGAAATCAGGCTGGTTTAAAAAAAAAAAAAACTAAGTCCCAAAATAGTTAATTCAATGTTCTATTGAACAAACAAACTAGATAAAAGTGATCGTTTGATGGGTCGGTAGCCTGGCTTTAAACATGTCAATTTCATTTGAGCTTTTGGAATTAAAGTAAAATAATATTTTGCAATTTATTTTAAACTTTAAGAATACAAGATACCCATGTTTAACAAAAAATAACTAACACTTTGTTCTCTCCATCATTTTTATTGCTTAATTAATTGGCTGGAAACACCATTTAGCTATGTATTTCCAAAAGTTTCAGGCTTCTAGAAGATAACACTGATCCTTTTATTACGAAGTGAAACATGGAACTCCCTATTCATTTTTCACACATTTACACCGGCTATCTTAGAACATGCCTTATGTCTTTTATTGTTCGCGAGGCGCCAGACACCATACATCAGTCTGTCTGCCAGACACGAGTGTACAAACTGGTGAAGATAACTTTTTGTTTGTTCCAAGAATAGGTGGGGTAGGCCTTGCTTATTACTTAGAAAAATTTGACGTCAAAATCCATATATAGGAATGAGTATTATAAGCGTAAAAAGTTTGACTGGGAAGAAATTCTTTGATAAAATAGGCCAATCGTGAAATTCTATTGAAAAGCGAAACTAGCAACGATTGGCTATCGAGTGGTTATCTGGATTTGGTTCGCCATCTTGACCTACAGTGTAAACAAACAGGAGTGGTGTATAAAATGAACACTCCAGCCTAAATTGGTCAGTTAAGGGTAGACTATATGGATAAGACATTTTTTTATGTAATAGGTATCAGGAACGTTATCACATCCATATGTTAAGTGCATTCACTCTCTTGACAAAAATATTCATAAGCCACCATTAGCAGTTTAGGTTGCCATGGAATCTTCAAAATGTTAAAATTAACACCTTTTCAAACCTCTAATACTTTGCCTGGGCTCTACATCTAGCAATTCTGATTTCACATTTAAATTAATCATATTAAAATCTACATTTCTACGTTTATACAATGGAAATGGTTTTATTTTCAATTTTTTTATGCAAAAGAAGTGTAAACATTTAGGGGGTTCACTTACATAAACAGCTATATGTTACATCTAAATTGAACAGATAAACGTAATTTTTTAGGTGCTATAACTGTCAACATGTGTGTAGGAGTTTCATTCATGTATTCTTGTTGGTTACAAAGCTTTAGCAATTTGAAAGTTGAAATTTGTGTGAACATCTGATATTGAAAAACGTAAAAAGAAGTAAAAGAATGCAGGCCGAATGAAAATGTGAACAGAAACTTATAACCTGTTGTATTTTTATGTAAACTATCTATTTGACTAAAAGAATTTATGCATGACACACAAAAGAAAAACAAACACCCTCAAATATGAAGAAATAGAAGAAAATAAAATTCCTACACCGGTGTCAAAATTTTATTTGTTTTTTACATACAGGTAAAAAGTTAAGAATTAAAGCCAGTATAAATATGTACACCAGTAGTGAATATACAAAACACATAGCATAGGATTATTAAAAGCCATCAGCTTGATAGCATGGATCATCCTTAGCCTCCTTTCCGCTGACATCGGTGCAACGCTGTGACATATATTCTTTTTTTTAACTTTTGTATTGCTGTCAGCTGCAGCACCAGCTTCCTTAATTCTTAGCTCATTCTTGTCTTCTAACAACTTTATAGTCAAT